CAGGTGCAAGGAGTTGTGTAGGTGTGATGAGTTGTATGCAGTTGTAAGGTGTTGTATGTAGCTGTGAAGAGCTCTATGCAGGTGCAAGGAGTTGTGTGTAGCTGTGAGGAGTTGTATGCAGTTGTAAGGTGTTGTATGTAGCTGTAAAGAGCTCTATGCAGGTGCAAGGAGTTGTGTAGCTGTGAGGAGTTGTATGCAGTTGTAAGGTGTTGTATGTAGCTGTGAAGAGCTCTATGCAGGTGCAAGGAGTTGTGTGTAGCTGGTAGGAGTTGTATGCAGTTGTAAGGTGTTGTATGTAGCTGTGAAGAGCTCTATGCAGGTGCAAGGAGTTGATGTAGATGTGAGGACTTGTGTGTAGCTGTGAGGAGTTGTATGTAGTTGTGAGGAGTAGTATGCAGCTGTAAGGTGTTGTATGTAGCTGTGAGGAGTTGTACGCAGTTGTAGTTGTTGACTTTGACAGAGTTGCTGTCCTGGGATACAAGCAGCCGCTGGAGCGTGAACATCTGTGGGACCTGAACCCTGAAGATACCTGTAGGTCGATTGCTCCGGTCTTCGAACGATATTGGAACAAGGAGGTCCTCAAGGTGAAAAGGTAATAAGAGTGGGATACATCTGCTACTGGGAGAATGTTGACGGTGTTACGGCGTCGGAATCAGTTCACGTGTTCAGAATTGTTGTAAAATCAACACCATTTACAGGGATGAGAATTGTCCGCCGATTTGACAGCCGCGTGAATCGTGCAGATCCGGTGGGGAAAAAAGGAAAAAAAAAAGTTTTTTTCCTGTGGGTGATGACTATTTCTGCTTCAAATGGCTATTCCAATCAATCCAATATAATATCATTAATATTTGTTTGACTTCAGCACCAACCAATTCTGCCGCGTTGTATGTTTAATTTGTTAAACTGCGACAGGTAAACATTAATGTACTGCCTGTGAACTTTTAACATGGTTTGAGTAAATTTTTATATCGCATGACAATTTTATATTTTTATTATTCATGCGTGAAAGAAATGTTATACTTGTTTTCTACCAGTTTAATGTATTTTGTTAGCCATTATGTACAGTTGCTAGTAGCAACAAAAGGTCATGGGAAGGCCTCAAATCTGTTGTTAAAATAATATTATATTACAAGTATGGCTTTTGCAAATACCTAAATTGAGCTAGAATGTATCTCCACATGGCCTAAAGATTCCGTTACAGAGTCCATTTTTCTCAAAAAAATTCTTGGGGGCACCCGTTCCGCACCCTCCCCACTTGGCGGCTACGCCGCCTCGTACTTGTCCTTCGTTATCTTTTCCTCTTTTTTTCCTTCTTGCTGTTCTCATCCCTGTATTTAAGCATTTGTAATAGTTGGATTAATCACAAGCTAACTGCCATAAAGCTGATATAATTATGCGTGTCATCAGCTTATTATTATGCTTTAGTAAATATCATCAAAATAAAACACACATTTCAGAACTCTTACCTGACGGATTTGCTAGGGTGGTTACAGAATTTGTAATGTATGTCATATGACTATAGGTCATTTTCAAATATTCTCCTTGTCAAAAACAGTGTATTAGTACAATATATGTTGGAATTTTACTAAAGTAACAGCAAAACAGGACGTGTGTGCGAGGTAACTATGGTGACTGACGCATGCACGGATGCACGCATGCACGCACACCCACTTAGAATCGTTACCCTGTTTGATGTTTATCTTAGGTCGAAGGCAGTGAACAGGGCGTTGAAGGAGAGTGGGCTCCCATCTGACCCCGTCTATGATCCGTCCATGATGTGGCCTCTCACCATGACATTCGGCAAGACCGTGTTCGTCTCTGCCTTCTTCAAGCTCATCAATGATGTGCTAACATTCGTGAGCCCTGTCGTACTGAAGTAAGCTACACCCCTTTCCCCATCGTACTGCAGTGTAGCCCCGTTATAACGCGATGGTTCGGGTCCATAAAATGTCATCGCGAAAAAAAGCGGGTTTCACTAAATCGGGGTTATATATACGTGGCTATATAAGAGCAAAAAAATGGGGTGCAATGATTCATCGCGTTATATCCGAATTCACGTAAAATCGGGGGTTCCACTGTACTAATTCATAGTTTGGTCAAATTTGGTGATAACTTAGACACATACGTTAAACAAGGCTAACATATCTTTGAATCGGGGTGCTGCATGGCATAGTGGCTAACGTGTTATGTGTGTGTGTTGTGTAGGTGGTTGATAGCGTTTGTGGAGGACCCGGCGCAGCCCGTCTGGTACGGCTACTTCTACACGCTCATCATGTTCCTCGCGGCCGTCCTGCAGACGTTCGTCATGCAGCAGTACTTCCATCGCTGCTTCCTCGTCGGCATGCGCCTTCGCACGTCCGTCATCGCCGTCGTCTACAAGAAGGTGAGACGAAGGTTACCACGAGTGGGCGCTGAACGTGTAGAGGTCTTCCACGNCACGCAGATGGCGGCGTAACGTCCTTAAGTGCAGGTTCTTTGTTAATGAGCCGGTAACGCCGGTTACCTTTTTACCAGGGGGCTATGCGCGAATTCTGTTACGGCTATCAACATTTGCAGAGAGAACTTGCGCCACTAAAGTGCTAAAATATTAATCCATATTTCTGAAAAAACGAAAGTTTATTTTAAATAACTTCCAAGCCAAGACTAACTGCCTGTGCACGGGCCGGGTCGTCGGCGGTTTGGTTTACCCTCGCGTGCGGACACAGCAGACAAGGCCGAAGTTTCAAATTCTATTATAATGTGGACATCAGCATTATAAAAATGGGCAGTGATAATTTGAATTCTCAAACTTGGCCGATACTACTAAAATAAGAGGAAATACACTGTTGACTGACTTTTACTTTAACATTTATGTTTTCCTTCTTTAATACTAAGATACTAATAGCAAAAACCCTTAAGGCGCCAACGGATAGAGAACATCGGGTCCCAATAAAAGCCAATGTGCCCTAACCCATAAACCGCGCATAATTTAAACCTAACCCATAACCCTAATCCTAAACACTAACGCCTAACGCCTAACCATAACCCTAACCTATTATATTTGATATTTGTGGGCATGCCCCGCAGACCCCCCTATGGGGCAGGCTGTCGGCTGGCCTTCTGCTCGCTCGCCCTACGTCGGTGGCGCGGAAAAACCAGCAGTTACCTGCTATTGCATTGTGCAAATTATTCCCTGCTTTTGTCAAAAAGTTAACAGAGAACCCTGAAGTGTCTATCCAGATAAAGATGGACAGCTCCCCATCGTACGTAGTAGCGCAACAACATATTTGCAAGACAGAATAAGGTATAAGCACTCATACCATTTTACCTACGCAAAAACCTACAGGCTGGCAATAGAAAGAGCTCGCACCTGTAAGCGCCAATTACATGCAGGCAAAACTAACAGTAGGCCTAATATCAGCCGCCACATGCACCTGGCAGTCGGCATCCCTTACATGTAACATACTGACAGTATAGAATGCCATAGAAATTATAGCGATTTTAAGGAGCATAAACCTTCTTCAACCAAATTTTAAGGCTTTTGAAATTGTCATTGTGGACATTGTACCCTGCATACATCCCGGCATGTAATAGATTCTACCTAAGCAAAACCCGGCATCCAATTCTGTTCTAAACAGACCGTCAACAAATCCAATATTAACGCCTCACATCTTGAGGTCAAAAGGTATATCTGACAACTTTACTCTTCACAGGTCAGCAGAAAAGTAGAATTTCATGGGTCCCTTGTCCATAAAGCCATAAAAATGGTAGGTCACCGCCGCTGAAACAAAGTTTTCAAAATCGGCATCCCGTCAAGACCATGTCCTCAAGAAAATGTCTAAAAATCTGGCCCTGTGCCGCCATTGACCTTTGACCTGTGACTGCCAATTTCAGCACAGGGTGAATGGCTTTCCTACCATGACTATACACCAGACTATCACGCAGCCTAGGTCGAGCCGTTTAATTTGTGCCCGGCAATTCTGGGGGGGGCATTTCCCTCCATACTTAAGTTAAGGAGTGAATCTAGTCCAGTTTGCCCAAAATGTATGACCCTGCAATGTTAATTACTCTAATTTTTTCATGAAATGTGTTACTATCATAGTTAGGAGCGCTGATTTAAACTTGGGTTGCTACTTGTGCAACGTACATGACGGCATTCTTGGAATTTCAAGATGGCCGCCGCCGTTCTCTTCGATTTTTGGTCAATTTACAATTTGTGATCCTCGATGGCCCTAGAGTGTCATGCCACATACCTCCTTTTTAGGGGTTTCGAGGGGCAGGAGTCGCGCATTCCTGGAGTTATTTTATTAGGATATGCGTCCAATGATCAAGGTCAAAATGACGGTCAACGGTGCAAAAAATAAGACACTTTAACTGTAAATTCACATGTTCATAGATAGTATAATAGGCGACAACTCAGCGACCTGAACATTACGAGACCAAATGGGATGAAAAGCCACGCCACAGGCACATGGTCATGGGAGTTACAGCCAGCATCCTGCCGGCAATTCATCGAGACAGGAAACATCTGGTGTGATGGGCAGCTCAACGATGCGCTCGAGTCAGAAACACGAGGCATTCTCATCAGCGACTCATAGCCATCAGGCTATACAGCTGCCATCCCTACACACGGCAGAACCTTCAGCTGAAATCCACCTCTGAATCCAAATGAAAGCTAGTCTGTCCGCTGAAAGAGTCACAGCC